TAGATTCGCATGTTTGCACGAAAAAAGCTGTCCCAAATGGTATTAACTCTGGAGATCAGGGGGTACAGCAGTGGGTGATTGAAGGTGGAGATGCATGAGACGCCGAACCGGTCCTCCGATAATATTTCCAGCCGGGCCTGTGCCTCCAGCCTCCTCTTCCATGCTCTCCACGAGATTTGATTCTGTTGAATCCTTAAATCTACTCGACAAACTCGTGTCATCTTTCTTGAGTTGCAATTCCAGTTGTGAATCGAGTAATCTCATGTACTTGTCCATCTCTCCGGTTCTCTCGTCGTCGTCACCAGCGAGAGATCCCTCGGAGCTGCCATCAAACTCTCCATCACCACCTGGAACCACCAGATCCAAAATATCACGGAGAGTGCTGTCGTAGACGTCAGCGTCGAACTCTATTCTCCCTCCATCATCGCAATCTTGTCTGGTGTCATCGCCTTTTGCTCCCTCTCTGCAAATTATAAACTGTTAAGGTTAATTAATTATTTAAAAACGATTTACACTAATTTCAGAAGTGGATATTTACCCGGGGAATTCCACACCATCAATCTCACTCGTCTGATTCAAGAATGCCTTGATTTTTTCTTTGATACTCGTGGGTTCCTGATGGCTCTTCTTCTCCGCGAGCCCCCACTGCTGATTCAGCATCGATTCCAGGTGCTGAGGATCGACATTCAGCCAACCATCATCATCAGGAGGACTCAAGGACGCTTCATCTTGAGCTGCAAATAAAAACACGTCCTCAAAAGACCTCCATCAGAATTCGCTTCAATTTTTTTCACACCAGGAAGTATAATAATTATTTTCCGCACAAGCTAAACAATCTATTTCAAACTATTTGAATGAATGCATCTATTCGATTCAAATAAGATCCACTAGTTACAAATAGATAATTTTTTGGGGTGCACACCTCAACCCAAATCCCCAAAAATTACCAAGCATTTCAAAATCCTCGGTTTTCACGGATTTCCAGGCCTCAAGGATTCTCTCAGCGACATCATCATCCTTGCGTTCACTCCCTTCGAGAGGGTTTTCCTCCAGGAAATGTCTAGCAGCAGCTTCGAGCCTTTCCCTCTCCTGGCTGCCCTGAAGACAGCCCCTGAAGTACCCAGAGACCTCGAGTCTCCTCAAGTATTCCCTCCACTTATCATCATCCCCAGCCCCTCCAGTACCTTCTCTCTTCTTCCTCCTCTCGTGAGCTCTTGCCACGAGGATCTCCAGGCCACAGGCAATTTTAATCCCCAACAAATGTGC